CATTCAGATGATGTACTGAATATATATATATCAATTTCAAAAAATGTACTGGTTGTGTGTAATGTAAGATGATCTTGCCTATTAACCGAGTCATTCCAGTTTAGCACACGTGTGTTGCCAGGCAACTACAGGTATGTGGAGCACACACACATGAGCGAGTGATGATGAGATGAGCGGTGATGATGAATCAGGAGAATTAGCTCAGTTGTAATTAATGCCATTACCGACAGCGAGAGGATCGAGGACTCTCTTAAAAGCGGAGGTGAAACTATCAATCCATTAGTTAATGCCCTTCTCTGAGCTGGAGAGAAGATTTGCCCTCGCCCGTACACACACACACACACACACACACAACTCAACACTGATGTGGAGAACACACAGGGTGTGTTCACAAACCAGCGCGTGTCGCAGACACACTGCCGTCCTCAGGGCGTGAAGAGTAACACACACATACGATGCTTTATTAGTCCTGTATATGTTGTGGTCTGGTCAGTTTTTGTGTATATTTCAAGTATAATATTTATATTTATGAGTGTTTCATTAGTGTAATTAGAGCCCAGAACCTCTGACACACTTGGCAAAAGTTCTGCCTCTGGACCATTAAAGTTCATGGGGATAATTGTCAGATCTGTGTGTTTAATCACGTGAAAATTCTCACCACTAACAACATACATTAGATCTCATTAAACGAGAAATTAAACACAATGTACGATTGTATTCTATGTAACGTGGTATTTACAACAGTAACGTTAAATGCAAGTACTCCACAGCGACTCTAGGGGTCGCTGTTTGACAAAAACAGGATTCTTGCATAGTGTGCCTTTAAGGTATGTTTATATTTATGAGTGTATTATTGGTGCACTTTTTATATGTAAGATATAATATTTTTATGTATGGGTTTATTATTAGTGCATTTGTCATATGTAAAATATAATATTTGTATGCATGACTCATTATTAGTGCATTTTTTATATTTAAGGTATAATATTTATATTTATGGGTGAATTATTAGTGCATTTTTTATATTTAAGGTATAATATTCATATTAATGTGTGTATTATTGGTGCACTTTTTTATGCAAGATATAATATTTTTATGTATGGGTTTATTATTAGTGCATTTTTTATATTTAAGGTATAATATTTATATTTATGAGTGTATTATTGGTGCATTTTTCATATGCAAGATATAATATTTGTATGTATGGGTGTATTATTAGTGCATTTTTTAAATTTAAGGTATAATATTTATATTTATGAGTGTATTATTGGTGTACTTTTTATATGTAAGATATAATATTTTTATGTATGAGTGCATTATTAGTGCATTTTTTTATATTTAAGGTATAATATTTATATTTATGGGTGTATTATTGGTGCACTTTTGTATATTTAAGATATAATATTTTTATGCATGGGTGTATTATTGGTGCACTTTTGTATATTTAAGATATAATATTTGTATTTATGGGTGCATTATTGATGCACTTTTTATATGTAAGATATAATATTTATATGTTTGGGTGTATTATTCGTGCACTTTTTATATGTAAGATATAATATTTATATGTTTGGGTGTATTATTGGTGCATTTTCCCCCGTCATCAAATTCTGCAACCCCATCTCACATGAGCACCTTTCAAAAATGATTTGTTGCCAAGTTTTTTTTCAATTGATGATAGAAATTGATGATTTGTTGGTTCCTTTAAAATAACTAAATAAAAGAACAAATAATTAAATTTGTCATGAACATTAGTTGATGCTCAATTTCACAATGCACAAAAGGCTTCGCTTATTTTAGGGGGATCATCTTGGCGGATAAATAAAATTGCAATCGCGTTGTGAACGCAGGAACGCGATGTGCCGTTGATGGAGCTTTTCTTATGAACGACGGCGGTGCCGGTGTCTGATCCATCAGTGTGATGATCTCCCGCCAACAGCCGAAGCGGACATCACCCCTCAGCGACGGCCAACACCTGAAGCGCTGGTCTCAGATCCCCTAAACACACGGCTGGGTGTATTTCCAGCGCTTCAGAGTGTGTGTGAGGCTGAAGGACAGATGCCAGCACACGACACACTTTAGTCCACACATGGTCTTGTAAGTGGGTCATATGCATTAGCAGGCTAAACACTTCTGTTCCTGTTCTAGACTATCAAGCAGGGCTCCAGACTAACTTTTTTTACTAGGTGTGCTGTTGCCCCTGACTGAAAATTTTAGGAGCACAAGCAGAAAATTTAGGGGCACACCTTAAATCAGCTCGCAATGCAATTATTCAAATTTCCCCCAAAATACCTGTAATACGGACATATTCTTTAATAATAAATAGACTTAACATTATGATATGCTGTTTTATTTTAAGTTCACAGGGCTCCAGACTCAAATTTGAGGGCAGCATCACCTCAAATCATAACCAAGTTATACAAAAAACAAAACAACAAAAAAAAAAAAAAAACTGGTAGCACTGGGGCTGACAATAAATCACTTAGATTAATTAAGGGTGTAGATGAAGTTAACTTTAGTTATTATCACTTATAATATCTTAATATTAATTAAAAACAAAAGGAGAGAAAACATGTAGGCCTATGTATAAGGACTTGGAGTGAAAATAGCCAATAAACATCCTACTGTTTTTTAAATTTTTAATAAAAATATATTTTATAATTTTATATTAAATAATAATAATTTTAATGTTTAAATAAGAGTTTTCCAACATCTTACAAATTTTTCATTTTAGGACAATCTTTGAAGGATGAACAAAAAATGTGTTGATCATCACAAAAAAATACAAAAAATAAAACATTTAACTTTATATGATATTATAGTTTTGAAGAGCAGGACAAAGATGTGTTGTAAGTGTTTGACTACCGTATTTCTGTCACATCATATTTATGGTTAGAGTTAACTTACTATTTGCCATGCTGATAAGTTGCTGATTTGTGGACTGAAAGCGTTCTGTAAGTGTTTCTCCTGGTTTCCACGTCAGCGCTGTTTGATCTGATATGGTTTATATAACAGAACTCTGCGCCGAATCGGAATGTTTCTCACTGGATCTCGTAGCGATGATGTTATTAATTCTGAGGTGAATTCAATGGATTTATTCACTGGATCTGCTAGTAACAGTGTCGCGTGATCGAGATCGACCAGCGACTGGCAAGTTCGGGGCTTTATTAGCCTGCTGTCGGTGGTTCGGGGGGCTCCACTATGCGCTGCTCTGTCTATTATTGGTCCAACCTAATAAAAACGTCAACGGTCCGTGAAGCATAGCTTATGTGAGTTGCGTATTTTAGTTCCACTTTCATTTTGTTTGTATTCGCTGCTAGGTAACGTCTTGTGTCGATAGATCGCTTATTGCTCAGACGTACATCAGGTTGTGATATTTGTCTCCGTCTCCTTCCCACAGACGTTTAATCGCGCTATTCTTGTCACGGATTCATTGACGCGCCCCTTCCACGCTTACCATGCGTTTAACGTGTGACAAATTTACCGGTCGCACATGTGCGACTGGATGTAAAATTCAGTCGCACACTCTCAAATTTTGGTCGCAAAATGCGACTTTGGTCGCAGTCTGGAGCCCTGTCAAGTGTACGATTTCTTGAGTGAGTCCATCAAAAACTGCCTATGGTGACATCTCACATCGAAATCAAAAGGAAGAAATAAGAATTATATTAAATATTTAACATGAATGATGAAGAAAATTAAGCCTATTCCAGGATCATTAAAATGTTTTGCAATGTTAAATTAACCCCTTATGGCCCATTTTCTCATTATTTATATATCTTGGTAATGTTTGTTGTACTGCCTAAAGTATATTATTATTATCATCAAATCATTGATTACAGTATTTTTATGTTGTTAAAATGCTCAAAAGCAAAACATCCAGACCCATTCAGTAATGAGAATATCTGTTAAAATCAACTAAACAAAAGAAAATAAATGTAATTTTAATGTATATGCAATGCAATACACATTTAAATAAAACAAATACAGTATTATAGTAATGGTGTTTCTGACAGATCAGATCAGATCAACGTGTGATCGGCAACCAGAGTGAGTGAGTGGAGGCGGGGCTCATTTACATATTCATAGAACCACACATACTAAATGAGGCGAGGGTGTCGAGCTACATTCAAGCTATTTTAAGGCACGAAGAATTTTTCTTTAAAAAATATGTAATTTTGGTGATCAAAGATGAGTTTTAAGGGATGAAATGATTGACCACAGGGGGACTGTAAGATAAGTTTGCACAATATTTGCCATCATATTTTATGCAGCTTTCCTGCATAGACATTTAACAAGACGTTAAATAGTTGGAACAGAACTTTCTTTAGTAAAGAGAAAGTTAATTTAATCACGTTGCAGTTGCGTTTCTATATTGTGAATCTGTAAATCGAGATTGTATTTCTCGGTCATATCGCCCAGCTCTCCATCACAGCAGTTTTGCGGGTAGTTTAAGAGAGAGAGAGCGTGTGCTGACATGAAGTCGAGCCCTACAGCTCATTCTTTGCATGAGGCATCGGTACACATATGGTTAATCTCAGCAAAATGTAACTAGCACACACACACAGGGACGGGAGCGTGACTGTAGACCGTCCTCCTCTTCACACACGTGCTCAACATTCGAGCACATCAGAGGGAAGCAAAACTAATTAAAAGAAAGTTTCAGAGCTAAGAATAAGCCTCGGCAGCGTCTCTGGAGACGGGCTTGACTTGACACCCTTTCCACCGCTAGTTCATCACGCCGCAGACACCATCCAGGCTAACTTCATGTATTAAAATGGATTCATTTTCTGTTGTTGAAATATTTCAACCTAATATAGGGCTTTATAAAATGTGACCGTTTCAAAGCGGCTTCACAGTAATAAGACTTCAGCACAGAGACATTCAATTCAAATTCAAAGCTCTAGAAAGGCAAAAGTGTCTTTATATATTCAGATCACTTCAATAACTCTGTTGCAAAGTCAGTTTGTATGTATATTAGGTATAAACTTAATGGTACTTACAATGCGAGCACATTTCCAAGGGATAACTTGCCTCATTTCCCTACAAAAGAAGAAAACATAAGATTATCAACTTTTTTTGTTGAAATTATTACACATCATCACCTTTTTTAACACAAACACACACACACACACACACACGAAATGAAGGAGATCAATAGGAACAAGTCAGTGTCATGTTCTAATGATCTAAATTTTAAAACACTGAAATTCAGGTAACGTACGTGTTTAATTTTAGTCAAGAGAATTAATTGAGAACCTTTGAAATTGAAAGTACAGGTAAAAACAATCAAAACTATAGGCAAAGGTAATATATTTTAATATTCACATATAAAAAAAATGCATTTGTGACTTTTTTTGGAAATGTAAATGAATTAGGGCTGTCAAAAGATTAATCGCGATTAATTGCATCCAAAATAAAAGTTTGTGTTAACATAATATATGTGGGTGCACTGTGTATAATTATTATGTACATATATATATATATATATATATATATATATATATATATATATATATAAATACACACACACATGCATATATATATATATATATATATATATATATATATAAATACACACACATGCATGTATATAGAAAAAAAATATTATTTATATATAAAATATTTATATATAATATAAATGATATATAAATCTATATACAGTACATACATGAGAACATTTCTTAAATATAAACAAGCAGGTGTGTATTTATATAAATAAAATAATTGTACACAGTGCACCCACATATATTATGTAAACACAAACTTTTATTTTGGATGCGATTAATCGCGATTAATCGTTTAACAGCCCTAAAATGAATTATTTAAGCAATTATTTTAAGTTGTTGCTAATTAACATTCAGGTACAGTGGACGTGAGCAGCGCATCACAATGACATAATGTTGGATTCAACTTTTCAGAATACATTTATCCTTCATTTAATGACCTTGAACATAAAAACACAATGCAAAATGTATTTTCCTCATTTTTTATGTTATGAATATCAATTGGATATGTTTTAGTGAGATTCAGCCAGAATATCTGTAGATCAGTCCTGTGGCCCTCTAAAACTGAATGTCTACTTTTCGGCTAAGAAATATTTAGCATTTTTCTTATTTCATAATATTCCTGCACGTAAAGTATATGTTTAAAGTCCCCCTGTGGTGAAACTCCAGCTTGTAATGTAGTTTATGTGTCTATGTGATGTTTTTAATCATGTGTAAGTTGATTAATTGGACAGCATTGCTGAGTATTTCCTCCTGCAGTGAACCAAAGACAGTCTCAAGAACACGGTGTGAAATCGCTGGTGTTTCTAAAGCTTTTAAACAATACTTCTGAAGAACCTGTTCATCAGTGTTACTGTGAATTCTTCTCTTTCATTTGATAAACCAAAAGCTAGAAGATGAAATACTAAATACTCCCCCCTCTGTATCTCCATCTGCTTTGATTTATTATTTATAAAGTCTCGTTCAGTTCAATGGTTTCTGTGTGTCACGGCAGTGAAGGACAGATGAGAGCTTGGCCTGTCTGTGTTCAACACATTCTGGATTTAGGGTTATTCTTACTCTGTAATAATGTAATATCTGCTGTGTATGATAACACTGAAGAAAAAAATGAGTGTAAAAACAATTTTCACTTTAAAACATTGTTAGTACATTTCACAATTAATTACAAAGTGCCATTGTCCGTAATGTTGTTTCAAACACATTTAAGGTCAAACACACTTTATTTAACTCATAATCTCCACAGCTCTTTCTCTCAGTGTCTGAAACGCTTCGTTTGGAGATTCAGTCTCTCTAAGCCCCGCCTCTCTGCTCTGATTGGTCAGAGAGCAAACACTCATTATCATATCTGAATCTCAGGTCTTGATCACAGTGAAACGAACAGTAACGATGGCGAGGGTTTTACCGTATCAATCTCATCAAAGTTTTTTGCTTCGTCAGCAGAAAACAGCGTCACCTCGACACGAACAACACGAACACGAACTCAGATAGCCTACACGACAGTGTTTGATGTTTATTGAAGTCTTTTGTAACATTATAGACGTCTTTACTGTCACTTCTGATCAATTAAATGCATATTTGATAAATACAATATTAATTTATCTTTTTTTATTGTCCCACATATGTTGAAGTATCAAAGTTTCCAGAAAAATCTTAAGCAGCAAAAGCAAAACTGTTTTCAACATTGATGATAATCATAAATCTTGTTTCTTGATGATTAAATCCACATATTAGAGTGATTACTTTACTATATATTCACATAGAAAACAGTTGTAATAATATGTTACAATACTACTGTTTTAACTGTATTTTTGATCAAATACTAAATGAGGCGAAGGTGTCGAGTTACATTCAAGATATTTTAAGGCATGACTAAAATTTTTTTTTCTAAAAATATGTAATTTTGGTGATCACAGAGCAGTTTTAAGGGATGAAAGGGATGTTTTCACCATCCCATTAGCATTGTGTGTGTGTGTGTGTGTGTGTGTGTCGACGTCTCTCGGCTCGATGTTACGAGGCATCAGCGTGGGATTTGTGGAGCGAACCATCAAATCTGCTGTTGATCTCTGTATAGACTGTTCTGTATATCATATATATATACACACACACATCTACAGCTGCCCACTCATAACAGAGACGCCAATCTGCCACCGCTGGAACTAGGATTGTCCTTTAAGGAAAAGCTAACGTTGGGCTGGCTATCAGAAACAAAATATGATACAAGTGGAATAAAAGTAAAGATTTTAAAGGGAAAAAAGTATAGACATCATCAGGCCCATTTATAAAGACAATATTAAGCCTTTTTACAAAGTCTTGATGTTGTTTTTGGTGGATTATTCTCCTCATATTCTCCATTGTTACGGCTTATTAAGATCGCTCCTGCATACTAGTCCATAGGCTTCTTGAGGGACTGGCTCTTGCTGTCCCCGAAAAGTCATTAAAGGACGTCGTTAAAATAGTCCAAGTGACTACAGGGGCTCAATCTTAAGTTTATCAAACGACGAGAACACTTTTGTGCGCAAAAAAGCAACAAAAATAACGACTTTATTTCAACTATTCGTTTATTTCTCCCTCTGCGCGAGTCAGGTTACTAGTTTAATAGCGTAAGCTTCTGTTATTGTACGTCACACGCATCACACACACATGACCAGCGTCGGCCAATAGTGAGCCTACGTGTGACGTAGCTCTACGCAATCACACTACGTTAACTGACTACAGGCCCATGGAGAAGGAAGTGAATAGTTGAAATAAAGTCGTTATTTTTGCGCACAAAAGTGTTCTCGTCGTTTGATAAACTTAAGATTGAGCCCCTGTAGTCACTTGGACTATTTTAACGATGTCCTTTAATGACTTTTCGATGCCAGCAAGAGTCATTCCCTCAAGAAGCCTATGGACTAGTATACAGGAGCGATCTTAATATCTTAAATATCTTAATTTGTGTTGCGAAGATGAACGAAGGTCTTACGGGGTTGGAACAACATGAGGGTGAGTAAATACTGACAGAATTTTCATTTTTGGGTGAACTAACCCTTTAAATACTCATTTCATGTAAGCATGCCTGTGGTTGCAATGTTTGTGGTTTAAGGTTCATAATACAGGTGATTGAAGCGTGGTCAAAATTTTGTTTTGTCTCCGTCCCTGTAAAGTTTGTTAAAAGCCACTTACGCCCCTCTGGCTCCAAGCCCTCGCTTTAGTCTATATCAAATGTACATGCACAATACAAGCCAAATTAATGCATGTTACTGAACTAAGGAATAATTCATCAATGCATATTTAATTAAAGTCATTTTTGAGATTTTAACATGTAATCAAGATGTTTATTTTATTTATTTTTTTTGCATTTACTGTAAAGTAAAAAACATGAGAATATTTAGAATTGCAATTACAATTTGGGGTAATTTCTGATTATTAAAAGTAAATGTAATTAATTTAGTTCTGTTTAAAATATTATTTCTTGTCTTGATTTCGGGTGGAGTGAGATTTGATCTGTGCATGTTTTTGTCCCTTAGCACTATTTCAAGCATAATTAAAACTCATTTTCCTTCTACAATCAGTAGACATTTGCCTCACTCATTAATCACACAACAATTACATCGATTCTGCATTACACTTGGTGGTTTTGTCCTGCAACGTCCTTCGAGACGCACAGATTAGATGAAGCCGCAGCACGAACCTACGAAACGGACTGTGAAAAACAAATGCGATGTGCATACATAATGCAATTGAAAAACGGCATCTGAAGTGTTTCTGAAGAGTTGGACTTGGTTATTAATATACCATGATCCTCCGAGTCCAAACATGAATTAGGGCGATGACAATTCACAACAGACCTACAATCCATTCCACGCTGATGAGAACAAATGATGCCTTGCGGCTCAAAAAAGAGAAAACAGAGAGTTTTAAATGAATTCCTGAATCATTAGTGGGCTCTTCTGAGATGTAAATGAACTCTTTAGTGGGCTGAACATCGTCTGGGAAGCCTAAGAGGCGAACACTCAGCGCAGATCATAAATAATGCATTCAGCATTCAGAGTCAATTAGACCGCACAAAAACATGCAGTGCACAATGGACATCCGGCACAGCAAAACATCACTAAATACGAACTAAATTACAATAACAAGGTGTAAACACATAGACAGAATGCAAATGTTTCATGCAACTTTTAGCAGATCATAATTAACTGTCCATTTTGCTCATGCCAACTATCTGGATCAAGAGGTCTTTGTGGTACAGCCTTTCATTTATACTGATTTAAAAATAGTTAAACATCTGAACTCATACAATGATGTAGATTTAATGGGAAAATAAAACAGGCTTTGTGTTTCTTATGCAAAATATACCTTAATTCTGTATTTTCTGGTATACACGGTCATGGTTTCTAAAAAAATATCCTGTATCGTTATGCACATTCATTGTGTGTTTAACTGAATACATGACTAGAGCTGTCATGATTGTGACATTTGCCTGACGATTAATTGTCTAAGAAAATAATTGCGCTAATTCGATTGTTTCAAGAACCGCTATAAAACCAAACCAAT